AAGCGTTCATATGAATTTCAATTGAATTTATTTCATAGGCAGCTATTGATGATAAGTAACTGATGTCAACATTATATTCTACTAACCTTGATTGGAGCATATCTAGAGAGGCGTGATGCGATCTATTATAGTGCGTGTAAAAAGCTAAAATGAAATCAGTTGGGGTCCGGGCGGACCCCAGGTGGGCGGATGAGGGTTAAAATCTTTTCGTATTATTGCTATCAAATACTACCATTTATAACAAAAAATATTATATCATTAAATATTGGTCATAAAAATTATTCGAAACAAGTTAGTTATTTTATAAAATCATATGTATGAGTCGAAGTGTACAGGAGCGTAAACCTGCAATAGATCGCAATTCAGAATGGAAAGAGCGTTTTCCGCACTCAGGTATTCTGGTTTTAGCCACTGCTCAAACTGTATTCGTCGCATTAGAATCTTTCTTAGAAATTGCTACACTCGGATTGACAACTGGTACTGCTCGCCCAACTGCTATTGGGATTTGGGCACTCGTCTTTTACGTGTCAGCAATTGCTGCAACATTCTTTACGGGTAATTATAGTCTTAGTCTTTTAGTATGAGGGTTTTGCCGATCCTGATGTTTAGTACAGAGAAAGTTGAAAAAATGTGCTACAGACTTTTCACACGCAGCTTAGACAGAAATCGTGACTTCAGTAAAGAAAAGAACTTGTGTTAAGCATGTTCTCCCACCATTTATTTAGAAAATTACACAAACAGTAAGTTTTCAGATTTTGTATTACAGTGCCCCCACGATGACAAAAGATAATATGTCTTTGAAACTGCATCAGTAAAGTCTTTAAAAGATTTAGAAAACCGAAGAATTTTTGCCATTGAGGGACTTAGTTTTATCAATTATATAAAAGCATTAGCAGACAAAAAATCAGACTGTTTGAACAGTAACCGTCAGAATAGTATGCAGGTTGAGATACCGATAGTATCGAAAGAACACGTAGCTTCTTTTTTCTACCGTACTGCTGTTGACTGGAATTCCCTGCCACATACTTTGTATCTTGTCGAACAATTCCTACTTTCAAACGAGCGTTACGCGCTCACCTATCCTTATAAGTGTGTTGTTTTTTCCTTCTATACTCTCTTTTCGGGGTTGGTGGCACTCTCTGTTCCGCGTGGTGGCACTTTATTTGCAAGCCTTTGGTCTTTTTGTGCTTTCCGTTGTTACGAGATGTTTTCTTGGGCATAAAATTGGGCATAAACTTTCAAGTTCAGATTCGACCCAGTTTTGGACGCCGATTCGAAATATGATATTTTTATCGTATAAAAAAGGAGTTGTGATGGAAAGAACTGAGAATTATGCACAGAATTCGGATTTGTCGCTCCTCATTTAAAAAAAATGACTTTTCTCAGTGACAAAGTAAAAATGGGAAAGAAACCGGGGGGAACCAGCCATTTCGGTATATAATCGGTATTTTTGAACAAAGAGTCATCTTGGAAGAGTATCAAAAATACTAGTTAAATACCGGTTACATGCCGAAATCGCTGTTTCCCTCTTGGATATACGTCAAGAACTCAAAGATAGATCATTAACATGTACAACTCGTGTACTCTAAACTAGTAAAAAAATGGAAATGGGTCTTCTCTAACAGTGGCGGATCTAGCACCACGGCGGTTCGGCGACCGCCAATCCTCTCACAAATGGAATTCTAATGCGAGTACACTATCAGACGTCCTTAGAAAAAATATTCATACTACCTCGGGCGACTTAGAAATCGCCACCCCGTCGGTAGAATCTTGGATCCGCCTCTGTTCTCTAATTAGTGTAATTTAAATTCGCTGGCATGTTATGACCGCTTTCATAGCGTGTCTCAGTCTAGAAAGACTTTTCCACTATGATTTTTTCGCTTTTTCGCTTGTTTCGTTTTCCCTTTGTATTGTTATTGTGCTATTTTGTGAGGTAAAGTAGAAGATAATGATTCACAGAAGTTAAAAACAAGCTCGATTCTTACACAATGTTCCGGTATATTTCGATTGCATTTCACTTAGACACGCAATTATCTTTTTTTCATGGGTTTATAGCCGTAAAATTGTTTTTTTCGAAAAAGAAATGTAGTACACAAACAACATTTTTTCACACACTTATTAACACGGTTTAATGATGATGCGAAATAGAAAACATTCTGCAAATTCTGAACATGTTTTCTTAAAAATACGCGTTAACTTGTTTTAATGAAAACACATCCCGACCATAATTTATTCAAGAAAACGATCCGTTAAGTGATTATCAATGATAAACTTGTGTCATATTTTAGGTTCTGCGTACAAAACAGTTGAAATCAACCCTGATCTTCAGCCGAAAAATATTACTTATGGGCACTTGCTACCTTTGAACACATTGTGGCTGGCTGAAATTGAACGAGAACATTTTTTCACACACTTATTAACACGGTTTAATGATGATGCGAAATATGGAAAAAAATCTCATTATAAACTCCAATATACACGAAAAAATGGTCCGTATAACTCCAAATCATCCAATCCCATTTTACAAGCATTTATGAATGCATATAATAATCATGAAGACTTAATTCTATCACCGGATGATATATGGTTATTGATTACCATTAATTATGCAAAATATGTTAATAGTAATTCTGAACTACTTCGACATTTTTTTGTTGAGCATGAAGGCAAAAAAACGTTGACAGTGATAGAAGACGTGTGTAAAGATGAAAATGATTGGACAGATTTTTTTGGTAACATGAAGAAAGAAATCGAAAAAGGAGTTAAAAATAGCAGTATTGTGAACACATTGATATCAAATTATTCAACAACAACTCAAGTTGAATCCATTTTATCTTTTGCCACAATTATGGATACATTTAAAAATTATTTTGATTATGGCAGATTTATACCGGCATGTGATATACGTAAGGGGGAAAAGGCGGATCCAGGATCCCCACGGATCCGCCAAGATCCCCACGGATCCGCAGAGATCCTCACGGATCCGCAAAGATCCCCACAGATCCGTCTCAATATTCTTCCGCTGAAGCAGCACAATCCTGTTCCCAAAACAGAACAGTCTGAGTCGCGAAACAGGACAATAGTGTTCCCGAAACGGAACAGTCCGGTTCTTTTATTGGGAGAATTTCCTGGATAACGGGACAATTGTGTTCTGTTCTGTGAATTCTTTTCCCACAGATAGAACATTTTTGTTTTGGTTGTGGGAACAGAGATTTCTGGGACAGTTCAGTTCAATAAAATTGTATTCGCATGGATCCGCATGGATCCGCATGGATCCGCATGGATCCGCGTAGATCCGCATGGGTCCCAGATCCGCCTTTTCCCCCTTGGATATACGTCAGATACATTTTATTGGTACCATTGGTGATTGGTATCTGTTGAAAAGGAAAACAGAACAAATACGATGATATACTACAGTTAACGATAGTTTCTATTTGTATATTGAAAATTTGTTACCTATTCTTGAAGAATTTATTCAAACATATCAGAATAATGTCAGTATATCATTTTGGCAGTATATCATTGACTTGACTTGAAAAACCCGGAGACTTGACTTGACTGGTGAAAATTTTTGAGGACTTGACTTGTGACTTGAAAACCCGTGACGTGCCCAGCTCTTGACAGAACATGTGTTTATTTTGTTAATTTATATCTAAATTGTGTAAGTAATTAAAGGTCCTATGATATGACCATCGTTAAACAAGTGAATATGACTTCGAGAAAACATAAAGCCACATGTTGTTTTGCTGTAGATTTTGATAATGATGCAGTATTTCGTGCCAATAATGGTTACATTAGCAATAGCTAATGCAGCAACTTCTGGTGAGCAGTATTATACCAAAATACAAACTTTATCTCCTTCACACGGTCTTTATTCTGTCTTCAGATACAAATTCACGACTTGATATTACAATTTTTCCATCTGATGATACAGCACTACCATCTGACTCTAGATTTGTTATGAAACTACTCAACAACCATCGCCGTACTTTAACAAAAATTGGTACCAGAGGAGAGTTGCATTCCGAGCAATTATCGAAGGCTTTTCAATTAAAACATTCTGATAAAACGAGATTACGTCCTACTGATTTTGTTCCAGTTGATATTGTTGGAAACAGAAACAATAAAGTGTTATTTACAAATGATAAAGAAAACAAAATTAAATTAAATGGCGATAAACAAGTTCAAGTTGATCTTAAATCCAAATCAAGTAATTTTATTGTACTTGTTAAATACTCTTCGTCCCACTTCAAACTGAGCATCTCTAGAAAAATTTATTTTCCCTTATACAGGTTAATACAGGTTCTGCATGACCTGAAATTACCTCGTGTCAGGCGCGTGTCCGAATGAAATAAAACGACAAGAATTACGTTTGTTCCGAACAATTAGCAACGAGAAAATGTGGGACTAGACGCGAGATGTAGCATACAAAATTGGAGCGTGCCCGTGCGTATTAGTTTCGAAAACATTCTGCAAATTCTGAACATGTTTTCTTAAAAATACGCGTTAACTTGTTTTAATGAAAACACATCCCGACCATAATTTATTCAAGAAAACGATCCGTTAAGTGATTATCAATGATAAACTTGTGTCATATTTTAGGTTCTGCGTACAAAACAGTTGAAATCAACCCTGATCTTCAGCCGAAAAATATTACTTATGGGCACTTGCTACCTTTGAACACATTGTGGCTGGCTGAAATTGAACGAGAACATTTTTTCACACACTTATTAACACGGTTTAATGATGATGCGAAATATGGAAAAAAATCTCATTATAAACTCCAATATACACGAAAAAATGGTCCGTATAACTCCAAATCATCCAATCCCATTTTACAAGCATTTATGAATGCATATAATAATCATGAAGACTTAATTCTATCACCGGATGATATATGGTTATTGATTACCATTAATTATGCAAAATATGTTAATAGTAATTCTGAACTACTTCGACATTTTTTTGTTGAGCATGAAGGCAAAAAAACGTTGACAGTGATAGAAGACGTGTGTAAAGATGAAAATGATTGGACAGATTTTTTTGGTAACATGAAGAAAGAAATCGAAAAAGGAGTTAAAAATAGCAGTATTGTGAACACATTGATATCAAATTATTCAACAACAACTCAAGTTGAATCCATTTTATCTTTTGCCACAATTATGGATACATTTAAAAATTATTTTGATTATGGCAGATTTATACCGACATGTGGTATACGTCAGATACATTTTATGGGTACCATTGGTGATTGGTATCTGTTGAAAAGGAAAACAGAACAAATACGATCATATACTACAGTTAATGATAGTTTCTATTTGTATATTGAGAATTTGTTACCTATTCTTGAAGAGTTTATTCAAACATATCAGAATAATGTCAATATATCATTTTGGAACATAGTGATGAATACAAGAAGGATTAGAGCTGATTACATGTGCACCTCGGGTGAAGAGACACGAATCAGTGGGTGGATATTGAAATTATTCTATGATGTGGATAAAAATGATGAAGTATTAGAAAATATTAAATTAAACTCAATTAAAGCTCCTGTTTTAGTCGAAAATCGTTGTACATGTCAGAAGAAAACATGTTACGTTATGGGAGGATTTCACGGTGTCTATTCAGATGGACATACACATAAGCCAGTGATGAGTTTACAAGTAATTGAAGATTTATCAACAGTTGTGCAGATATGTTAGAAATACGATGATTCAATTGCTTTTTTAGTCTTGATTTTCGTTCAAAACGGAAGATGTTATAATTCTTCTAAACAGATATTTTAGTGGAAGATGAAATAATATTCTGTGGTATTCTTATTATTGTTAATGTTAATCAAACACACGGAAAACACCGTAATAGGAGTTATCTTGATTGCGTTCTCACCAACTCTCTCGAAGGAAACCTTCGACGTTCTCTCCGAGGATAGTTTATTGTGAAGTCACACTTTTACTTGATACTGCCCTTCTGACAACCCAGGCCCCTGTGAGTTAACGACGAGATCAAGTTCCAGTTTCTGTTGTTTTGTAGACAAATACTCTTTAAAGCCCAAAAGTCCTTTTGAGGGCTAATTTGTCTTATCTCATGCCGTTCCACGATGGACACGGCCTCGGCCAGGCGGTTTAAAAATCGGACTAATAAAAGTGACTTTAACAATTATCCTGAAGAAAAACGCTGAATAATCCACGCATCTTACTTTTTTCTCGTCCTTTACTACAAGAGGTTACTGAGGTCTGCAACTCGTGTTACACTAAATACACGCGCAGTCCGCAGCCTGCTCCGCCCGCTCAACTAACAACTATGACTCGGTATATGAGTGCAGAAAGTATGAACACGCAAGAGAATGAGTTTGTCCTATGATTGCAAAAAGTTGCTTTTTTAAGCGATAATCAGCGATAAAAAACAGCGATATACGTAGGCAAGGGAGAAACAGCGGTATCAATACATACCCAAATACCAGTTGAATTTGTATTTAAAAGGTAGACATAACTGAAATGTGCATTTTGTTCAGTTTATCACGCTCTTTCCACTGAAGTACAGTTAGATAGTACAGAAAACGTCTATTTCTCTCCCATTTTGCTTTGTCATTGAGAAAATTCATTTTTTCTAAATCAGATGCGAAAACATCCGAATTCTCACCATAATTCGCAGTTTTCTCCATAGAAGTCACTTTTTATGCAATAAAAATATCATATTTCGCATCAGTGTCCAAAACTGAGTCGAACGATGTACTTTTTTTCTATACGCTTCGTTTAACTATAGTTGCTGATTAAAACAATTTCGTAACATCAAATAATACCGGTTAAATATTACAAATCAATTAAATCGAGTATAATACAGAAAAGACAGATACATACATGTTCTTTCTGTTATACAATAGCTTCATGCCTTTTCTCAGGCAGATTGAATAATACTGTTCTCAATTTTCATTCCAATCCGGTTACGGGTGAATAAATTAAAAGAGAGGGCAAAAGAAAAATGTTTACTTTAAAAAGATGTTGTAGTCTCTGATCGAAAGATTTCATAATTTTAATTTTTTCACAAGACCTGCTACCCATCCATCAGATCTCTAACATATCAGACAGCACTTTTATCTAACTTAAGCACTTTTCTCTCATACACTAAGCTATAGGAATCTACAATGTATAGGTTCGTGTTCAAATAATTTGTATTGTACTGTCAGTAGCAGTTCGGTTAACAGGAGCCCAAGTTATTGTTCCACCATTGAAATGAGACGCACAGATAGAAGAAATGTATAGTGAGCAAGAGAGGACTTTGTAGTAGCATATTATATGTTCAAAACTCTTTTGAAAAACTCTTATGTCAATACAAACATGTATGCTCAAAATTTTGTCACACATGAAAACAGAACAAGCAAAAAAGAACAAAAGGAAGTTTTTGGTTTTTTTTACATGAGTGACTTGATCAAATTTCAAATAGAATAGTATCGTGTTACGTTTCACCTAACTAGTTCAAATCTTGACTTGTATGTAGAAAAAGAAAGCAAAAAAGCACACCCTCTAGTACAGTATATATAGTATATGCCTGTGTAAATATATATATATATATAGGCGAGAAAGAAAGAACGTAGCAGAAAAATATGATGTAGTATAAACAGTGATGTAATATATACAATGGTGTCACAGGACATAATAAGATAGTGACTACATGAAAATACATTTCCTGAAACGGAAGTGTTTCTTTTATATAATCTCTGTCCATTGTAGCACAGTGGGCATTCAAGCGGACATTTGGCCAAAAAGTCGAAAATGAGCTTTTTCAAATTTGAACCGTCAGACATGTAGCTCTTGAAAAGGGCTATCGAATGGTGTATAATGATCGACTGATAATGG